TAGTATTATTAAGGACTAGTCATTGAAAATGGTTTGTTAACTATTGCCACCTCCCCACTGCTTGGAAAGGGCAAAAAATGGGATGTAAAGAGGCCAAATACAGGGCACATGGAGGCGGCAATAGGCGGCAGTGCCGATGGTCAGCAATGTGGGTGATGGGCAGTGGCGATTCCCACAGCCTGGAACAGCTGATAGGTGGTATTCTGGGAGGCAGATCCAACCACCAATCAGCTGCTCATGCTAAATCAGGCTATGCTGAAGCTGACCAGGCTGTTTGCTGTTTGTTGCAAGGAGGGAAATTTCTGGGAGGCAGAGGCAGATTTTGTTTTTTCTTGTTTTCCTCCTCAAAAGCTAGGGGCATCTTATAGTCTGGAGCATCTTATAGTCCAAAAAAATACAATAAGTAAAATAAGTAAATAAATATTAATTCCATTTAATTTTATTTTTTTTCTGTCTAGTTAATGGGGACAATTTTGTATTATTTTTCCATTATTTTGTTTAACTGTATATCTTTATGTGTTCTGATAATTAAATAAAATAGAAGCTAGTTGTAATACTACTATAAATGAGAAGGACTATTATAATATTACATTTCACTGAAAAACATTTAAATAATATGTCAAAGTAATTATCCATAGCCACACTTCTTCAACATATACATTGAGGCAACAGAATCAAGGCTGCCCTCCTGAGCTCATGCAAACATGCTCCCACATGGACCTCCATGTGACAGATGGAGTAGGCACTGACACCATATGTAACAGGTATCTTATTTAGGGCAACTCAAGGCCTTTTGTTCAAATTTAACCTAACTAACTGGTTAGAGCAGGGAAATTTGCCAAAAGGTGATGAGGTTCAACAGTGTAACATCAATGAGGTGTGGCCCTAAATCTATATGACATGTCAGAAGAATATAATGTAATAAAAATAATCAAAAGATATAATAAAATATCTTTTTAATATAGGATTTGAAAACACAGTAACTGTTTTAATGGACTTATTAGGGTGATATGGTACCTGTTAAAGTCAATGATGAATAGGTTTTTATGAGCCAAAAAAACCTCACATACATGAAGGAACAATGGAATTTAAGAGGAAGCATGAGATACGCTCTTCTGAGCATAAAATAAAATGATTGGCAGAAACAAACAGTATGGATTGGCACTCTACAGAAGAGCCACAACTGAGGTCACACAGCAGCCTAGGAAACGTGAAATCTGAACAATTGCCAACCAAAGCAATCTTTCAAGTCCAAAAGATTTGGTCTATTAAATATAAAATACCCTAAACTAAGATTAATTTAGTTGAAGGTTTACCACAGCTGTGCTTAGCTATCTACAGAGTTTTAACACTGTGTATGCTTAAGAGCACAATGCTGTATCTCTTGCACCATTCTTATTCTCCTGAATAGGCTGAAAAATCTTATTCTGTTGTAGGACACATTAATGAAATAGTGATTTGTATGTGTCACTGAGTATATGCAAAAAGTTATTCTTAATTTTTTTCCAGATTAATTACATATTTGTAATTAAAATTCTGGTTTGTAGCATAATTCTAGTTAAACAGATCAGATCTACTAGACAGAGTGTTTGGTAAAATGTTATACTAATCAATAGATTCTAAATACGCAAAATAGCCATAAGAAACAAGGACCGATTGGCTGAGTCTTTTAGGTCAGGTCACCAGTTCAATGTGGCCTAAGATAGTATGCCTTCCTGGAATTCTTTCTCAGACAAAATGATATCTCAAGTTGAACTAGTTTCAATCTGCTCTATATATTTATATAGAGAGAAAATGTTGATTTTCTCATGGTAAATCTATATATAGAATCCTATATCCAATCAACATTGTCCATTATGTCCACATCAATGTTTTGTTTTCTGCTTTTAAATCTGTAGAGTTACATAGATAGCATAAGTTGCTCTGAACAGATAAGAAAAGTGCCAAAATGGAAAATTTTCAAATCGGAGACAAAGAAAAAAGGAAGCAAATAAAAGGAGTGATTAAGAGCTAATTAACTATTCAGTTGAACTATAGCAGAGTTCAAATCATCTAATAAAATTATTGCTACTCTTACTTCAAACAACTTAATTTGCTGCCTGATATAGAATATAAACGAACTGATTCCAAGTAAACTATGTCTTCTAATGTACTGGGTACCAGTCAGCCGTGACCCGACAAATGCGCGAATGTCAAAAGCGCGCCGACAAAAGCGCGGCGCTAAAACCGCGATGTCAAAAGCGCACCGACAACAGCGCGATTTAAGTTAAGGTAAGGTTTAGGGTTAGGTTTAGGTTTAGGTTTAGGTTTAGGGTTAGGGTTAGGTTACAGCACGCTTCTATCAGCACGCTGTTGTCGGCGTGCTTCAGGGCTCATTTGTCGCTCATTCGTCGCACGGTTTTGTCAGCACGGTTTTGTCACCGCGGTTTAGTCAGGCGCGCTTTTGTCGTTCGCGCATTTGTGGTGGAACCATATGTAGCAACCCTCAAAATTATATTAGCCCGTTTATTGGAATAGAATACTTCAGTTGGCATTTGCACATGTTAATCTAACTGCAATAAATTGTAGGGGTGAGATACAGTAATATGATTTACATTGTTTCTAGTTTTTAATTTGTTTATTATTTTCTG